CTGAACCCTCACACGGTACCTTTAATGCAGCCTGTAATCAAAATAACTGTATTTCCCAAACATTACTGAGTCCTAGGGGCTCGTCGTAGCTGGGGAAGTCCATGCACCAAGTAGAGATTTAAAAAGAAAAAGACAGAGCAAAGCTTTCAGTGAGGCCACAGCTGTGTTATTAGCGTCATGTTGCACAGCAGAGAGCGGCTAAATTAAACCCCACACCGTGAGAAGAGTGACAGGAATATGAGGACATCAAAGTATCACGCTACAAAAATGGGATCATGTTTGTGCTACTCTGGAAACCACACACACACACACACACACACACACACAAACGACTGTCTCTCACAGCAGTGAGCTAACTCACAGGAAACCTACATTGATTTTTTTCCTCTAATACACATGAGTGCACATTCAGAGACACACTCACACAGGGGACCTCCCCAGCTTTCCTGACGTGGATTAAAATGAGGCTGGATGAATCATTAAAAGTGAATGTTGTTCACTTCTGTCATACAGTAACAGCACATTAAACCTGTTGTCGTTGCTTCTGAAGTAAACGGCATAAATTAGATGACGTACTTTAAATGTGCCTGTAAACACTGAGGTACAAAGATCATACTTGTGCAGTGTCTGTCATAGAAACTCTCACTTAGAGTCCCTTTGACACTGACTCTAGGGGTGATATATCTAGGATCATTTGATAGATCCACTTCTTTCAGATTGCACATTTGTTTTTATTTCATCAGATAGTAATTAAACTGCTAAACAATCTTCGACCTTCCTTTTATCCAAAATTCTTACAAGAGTAGTCGACTATTTGACTCCCTGACATAACTCTCAAATGTGTACCTTAAAGCAGATAAGGCATAAGCTGAAGAGGAACTAGCATCTCCCACTAATTTAGAAGATTATCGTTTAGCCTGGAAAGCCAGTTTGTCTACTCCATCAACAAAACAAGGACTGAACAGTCACTTATATTTGGTCATTAGAGGACTTTAAGGAGAGCTATTCCAGTGGAATGAAACTTTCTGAAACCCACACTGAAAGTTTTGCTACTTCAAAACCTTCTGTAATTGTGTCTCAACAAGCTTTTCTAATATTCTGGCAATAAAAGGAAGTTTTGAAATGGTCCTATAGCCCATGGGTAGTGACAAGTCCAGGTTTGGGCTTTGTTTTTCCAGCAGGAGTTGGACAACACCGTGTTTGAAGTAGCCTGGAACACAGCCTGATAGCAAAGAGCAATTTAGAGGGACCGCAGAGGAATCGATAGAGTCAAAGAGTTTAACAAATTAGATTGTGGGTAAAATATCAGCTGAGCTTATTGAGGGTTTCATTTGGGTTAGTATTTCATAAATAACATCCCCAGAAACCAATTCAAAATTGTGGGATGTCTGGCATCATAACTAAAATGACTATTAGACCATGATTTTCTTAGAAATAATAAATTAATGGGGAAACCACGCAC